TTTTGTATGTGTATTATATACTGTATTCTTACAATAAATTTAGCTGGAGAAAAGACTATGCCATTAAGAAAATCATAAAGAAAATACATTTACAGTGCTGTATTGTGAAAAATGTGAAAAAAATCCATGTTTAAGTGGACCTGCAGAGTTCAAATCTTTGTTGTTCAAGGGTCAACTTTAATTTCCGCTGAAGGACAGAGTGATGACCACAGGTGATGCAGTTAGAATATCTAATAAAATGAAAGCCTGATCCTGGCCTTTCTACTGAAAATCTTTCAGTGGTTCCCTCTGATACTAGGACAAAATCAAAACTGCTTAATATTTTCTATAAGGCCCCTCAAATTGGCCAAACCCCCACCACTCACCTCTTCAGTTTTGCCCACCTGCCATGTTTTTCCTCACCACTGGGCTTTCCCTCGGCCACCCCCTGACTGCGGCCGGTCCCCTCCTACTCCTGCCCCCTTCCCTCTGGCTCAGGACTCTGAGCATCACTCCTGCTTTGGTTGCCTCCAAAAAGGAATACTGGTCGAGGGACACAGGGGTAGGGAAGAGGCTTTCATTAAATAGCCTCTGGTACCTCCTGGGATTTAAACCAGAAGTGAAATAAACGAACATACGCCACTTCGTCCTGGAAATCTGTGACTCGCCCTGTCCCATTCTAACTCAGACACTGAGCTGCTGCTGTGTTCATGCTTCCCGGTACTTCTTCTGTAACAGCCTTTATCATACTCCACTATACTCATCTACTGGTTTACAGACAGATTGTAAGTCCTTTGAGGGCAAGAGACGTTACCTAATTCCTCATTATATCCTGAGAAGCAAATGAATAAATAATAGCTTATAAACAGTGAAAGGTCATCTAGTCCAGTCATTCTCAGTGACAAGCATGACACATATTATAAATGTGTTTGCACACACTGTACACTCACGTGGGGATACTCAGATGCCCGCAAACCAAAAAAATAATAAGCACAGTTTTGTTTCTGGTTTTGCTATTATTCAGTAATTTAGAAATGTATAAAATCAGCCATGCAAGTAATTTAAAAATATTTTATCAAGAAAAATAAACAGGGGCGCCTGGGTGGCTCAGTTGGTTAAGCGACTGCCTTCGGCTCAGGTCATGATCCTGGAGTCCCGGGATCGAGTCCCACATCGGGCTCCCTGCTCAGCGGGGGGTCTGCTTCTCCCTCTGCCCTCTTCCCTCTCGTGCTCTCTGTCTCTCATTCTCTCTCTCAAATAAATAAATAAAATCTTTGAAAAAAAAAAAAAAGAAAAAGAAACAGCATGTTACTTAAACTTTACTTTTAAATTAATCTTGATTTCATCTCAGAGTTTTGCTTCACAAGTAATCTGAATAAGGTGAAAAGTTAAAAACTATTGAAGAAACTAAATAGGATTTTGCAACCATGCCTGGAAACTCTTAACAAAATCTGATTACTCTAGTGCCAAAAATAATTTATAGTAAGGAAGGATTAGATTAGTCCTAAAGGCCTTATTACAGTTTCTAAAAAATTGGCAGACACCAATTTTTGGCTGCAAAAATGGGCTGCACTTGAAAACAGCACATATGGGTCCAAGGAATTCCAGGAGTGAGCAATCTCAAAAATGTCCAGATTCAGAATCTTCCCTACAGAGATTCATCTCAGTCCTGAGTAATTCACAAAGTAGGTAATCCCATCCCTGCCTCTGTCAATGAGGTGGCACCTGCTAGCTCAGAGTCAAGGTCAAACACCAGCACTGAGGGGGCGGGTGTCTCAAACAAAGCGACAGAGGTGTACCACAAGTGAAGCCCTTGGGGCTATTCCCCCCACACCCACGATATGCAGTGTATTAACTTTCAGCTTTTCACACTTCCTGAGATTTCTGTATACTTTTCTGTATAAACTAGGGTGAATTAAGAAAAAGGAATGATATCCAAAAGAACACATGAGAGCAGCAAAGGATCTTCGAGAAAGAGCAGTAATTAGCAAAGCGAACTAGAGAGCCATGGTAATTCAAACCATGAGGTAAACTCCAGAGGGTTAAGAAATAGAAATGGCTAACACCTTATTCCCATCACTGTTTCTTAAGCAGTCCATCCTGCCCCCAGGACTCCAAAGTGCCAGTTCGGCATAAGTCAAGTCCATGGGCACACAACACAGCCTTCTTCTTCTCCAAAAGTACTTAGCTATTTAGGTTATTTTCTTTGCCATTTAACTTTTAGAATCAGCTTATCAAAATCTCTCCACCTCACCCCTCCCCACCCCACCCCCAAAAAAAGCTGTTGGGATTTTAACTGGAATTGCCCTCTCTATAATTGATGGTCTTCTTTAATGTCTTTCAGAAGACATGGAAGTACAGTGTAGTGTAGTTTACATAAGTGAAAAGAGGATTTGTTTTGACAACAAATGATGAAGTCTCCATATGCCCTTTCTTCTTTAAGTATTATTTCAACAGGCGCAATGGTACTCAGTGACAACTCCTCAAGGATTAAGGAAGTGGTTTCAAAATTTGCTGATGCTACAGCTGTCTCCAGTTTGACCTCTCCTGCCCCTCCACAGCATCTTTAAATTTCCAAGGATCTCAGAAGCAGTAATAAGTACCCGCTTCATATAATGTGCAACTAATCCATGCTATCACATGAACTGCAAACTAAGTGAAACTTCTGAGGCCCAATTCAACTGTATCCAGAAGTTAGAAATTAAACTTTATTGCCAAAATACATAAATAGTTCACAAAAAGGAAATGCCAATAACCCTTAATCCTTAAACACATAAAAATAAACATAACCTTGATCACTAAACAAAGGCAAATTGAAACCATAAGGACCACAACACACATACGTACGTAGATTTTTTTTTTTTTTTAATTCACCATAAAAAGACAGAGAGACAGTCCTTCCAAGCCTGGGATTGAGGGAGAGGGGAAATACTTGTCACCATTATACTATTTTCATTACTGAAAATTGGTAAAGGAAAAGAATTAAGTGTTTACCCTTATTTAATAATATAGTAAAAACTGTTATTTTCTATAACCTAAATGATGAAGGAAAGCTCTTCTTTACAGAAAAATTCAGTTAATAAATGTAGAAGAAATGACCAAATTAGAAATACCACCATTTTGTAATTTCTTATGAAACAGGTGATTCAGACCAAAATCATCAACATACTCAAACCTCTGAGCAAACCTAGCATAACTAAAACCACACATTTTCTGTATCCTGATGTTATACAAAGTATATATATATAAAAGTATATATATATATATAAAGTATATAAAATCACTTACATAATACCCTTACCAAAACTGTTTAAATTTTATCAAGCCTTTAAATCTGACTTCTAGTTTACAGAAAACACAAAAAATAAAGGAAAACACGTTATGAGATATGAGAAGCAATCAGATAAATCAAGAAGGTCGAACATTCTACAGAAAAACAGACTCAATTTATTCAAAAAATTAATAGCATGGGGAAAAAATTGTGGCAGGGGCTGGAGAGTGAATACTTCTAAAGACATTTAAGAAATACAACTACCAAATGCAACGTATCCACCGTATTTAGTTCCTAATGTTAGCAACCCTTATAAGACAACAGGGGGAATGTCAATATGGACTGGGTAGGAGGAATTATTGTTAATTTTGTTAGGTCTGATAATGGCATTATGGTCACAGAAGAAAACATCCTTATTTTACTTTAAAATACTTAAGAAACAAAAGTAGATGAAGCAAATACGGAAACAATCCAAATGATATTAATTATGAATGGATAAACAATATATGGTATATTCATACAATGAGCTACCACTCAGAAATAAAAAGGAATGAAGTATCGATACATGCCACAACATAACGTATTCACAGATTTCGGGGACTAAAACATCTTTAGGGGGCCACTATTCTGTCACATTAACCCTGTTAAAGG